GCCGCGGTAACGCGCGACAACAATAGTGTGGGGCTTCGCTCTGTTTAGCCTTTTTTATCAACTGTTCTTCTCTGCAGTTCCTTTCCCCTCTGTGGTCTTTTCTGATAGAGAAGACCCAGGTCAGAATGGTACTCTTCACGCCTCCTTTCGCGGCGACTTTCTGGTTAGAGAGGCTCGCCAGTTTAGTGAAGACTGTGATAATAGTGTTCCAGAGTTTATTCGTGAGGGAGGTCGTCGCACTCTGCGCGCTTTGCTGACCGACTCACCCTTAACTCCAACCCGAGATTCTACTGAACCGTTGAAGAAGCCTGATTATCTGTTCGGAGATTCGATAGAAGATCCAGACAATCTCTGCCGTGGCCCTAAAATTTGGTTGAATGAGCACGAAGGTGCTTTTCTATTCCTTCCTCCATTCCCTCGCCAATATTCAATTCTGCAATTAAGGAATCTGGCTGTTTCGAGAAAATGGCGTGGCATCTAACAGAAGACCATGAGCATATTCATTATGGATTCATTGGCAAAGATGTCAGCGCTCCTGGCTCCATCGGCAGGTATAATGTCCGTGGCCTTCACCCAGGGATATTTGGACCAGATAGCGGGCCCCAGAACGAACTGATGATAAGGGCCAATACGGTAAAGAATAGGCTCGCTCGGGTTGGCCGAGAACTCCCCATTCCAAAATTCAGATGTTATGGATGGGTTCATTCTCTTCCCGACAAATGGTGGGCTAGGATGACCAAGTATGTACTCAATCGTTGGGATCAAGAGTTAAGGAATTTGGGATTATATGCTCCAATCCGAGCCAGCATGCATGGTCTCCCAGTCAGCGTAGATCATTTCCTTGCCTTGTTCGAGTCTTATATTCCGGAGACCAATACATTTCTTACCAAATATGGGGAGTTAGGGCGTTCGAGTCTTATATTCCGGAGACCAATACATTTCTTACCAAATATGGGGAGTTAGGGCTTCCGCTCCACGAAATGATGAAGGATACATTTCTTACCAAATATGGGGAGTTAGGGCTTCCGCTCCACGAAATGATGAAGGTATCTGGACTGCAACTGGGGAACACTCCTTATCAAGAATATTTTCCCAACAATCGTCAACTTATGAAGATGAAGAAGGCTGACTCTCCTGCTTATGACATCCTCTGGGAATTAACTTGTCATTATCAAACAGCGATAGCCAAGATCGAGGTGAAGAGTAAGAAGGCGGCTCGAGTCAGTTTGAAACAGTTTGCTGACTACTTGTTTCAGAATCTCGAGAGCCCGACCGGTGAAGCTGTCTGCGAATCACCGGTTCTGACCCCTTCTGACGTTAATGGGCTGATTACGAAGATTAACGCCCAGTCTTATAGAACCGAGTCGTCTGAAGGCGGTTTTCTTAGGGGCACCAAATTCAGGACTTTCTTGTGGCAAGCCACCAAGAGAATGAAGCCTGCGACTCTTCTTTCTGGTTATCTGGCCATATGGCTAAAGAGATGTGTAGTGCCGCATCAGTCTTCCGAGGCGCTTCCTCTTGAGGTTCTTCTTCCCGCCGTGCAACTAGCCGTTGGAGGTAGGTTATCCTTACTCTCCGCTATGATCGCTGACCTCCATAGCGGTTTGCGTAACCTATCTACCACTTTTACCAAAGTGGGTGCTGAACCTTCAACTAAAATTCCATTGTCGAGCGTCGAACTGCCGTACACATATTTAATGGCGTGGCTAGTTCTCCATCGAGCGGACATGATGTCAGCACCTGACGCGTCTGATCCAGAAATCCCCTTGTTGCAGCTCTTAGAAGGATGTAAGTGCCGCGTTCCGCCTCCAAGACCAACCGCCCGCGAGCGCTTCCATCACTGCAATCGAACCACTTCCGACCACTCATCCCTCCGCCGATAGCCAGCAGCGCCAGCCCTCCTGTTCGCCCGCCCTCTGTTCACCTCCTCCATCACTTTGCACTAGCAGCAACCCTACTACAGCCGCCACATGCACTACCACTCCCCTCCTCGGAGCTCCCCATGCTGCGACACGTTGCAGCCACCGGTAGTGATCCTCACGCGCCTATGAGCCGCGCGCTTGCACGATCGCCGTCATCTCCTCCCCTCTCCTCACCTGAACTAGCGCTCGACCTCCACCGCCTGCAGCAGCCGTGGCCAGGCCGCCAACCCATCAGATTCCGCTGCCGGGCCAGCGCATCGAACAAACCCTACAACACACCTCGCCAGCAGCCCGATGGCCTCACCAACAGCCCTCCCCTCCTCGGCCCTGGACCGCGCACACCCCAACGCCGGCTCCCTCTCTCTCCGACCGGCCAGTCGCTGCCCGGCTGCCTCTCGCCGCGTCGACCACGTCACAACAGCCCCCTCCAAGCCTCAGATCTAATCATCATCTCGAACTAGCCGAACCGCTGCCCTCCCTTCAGATCCGTCGGGCAACACCCGCATCGGCGCCGCTACATCGTCGACAGGCCCCATTGGCCTCGCAGACAAGATCCCCCTCCTCTTGACTCAGTCAATTTCTAATTTATATTTGTAGTTAATTAGTTGCATAGATTAGATTATGAATTGTTATTATCTGCGTGAGCTTGTTGATGAATTAGTGAATTATCTATTTATGTCAATTTATAATTTTTATTATCTGTATGGGTTTGATGAATAATGTTGATTTAAATCATAGTTATGTGATAAATAGTATTTTCGGAATAATGATAATGAAGTGAAAGAATTTATTTTGATAACGGAATCATTGTGGAGAATTTATAATATTTAAAAAGAATTTATTTTGAGAAAAAGAATTATTTTTGAATAATAATTGATGAGAAATAATTTTAAAGAATTTATTCTAGGAAAGAGAATATTTTGGATAATTATAATGAGAAATAATTTTTAAAAGAAATTATTTTAGAAAAGGAATTATTTTCTGAAGTATGTAGTTGCTAATTCATGATTACATTCATGTTTGTGAATATTTTACTATATTCGACATGTCATGATGTGGTTGCTTGAAATTAATGTTATTATTATCTTGTTGTTGTGTTTGAGAACCGTTATTAATTAATGTTCTTAGTGACCTGGCGTGTCGTGTATAGGACGTAGATACCTGTGTTTTGTTGGCTTAGAAAAGCTAGAAGAGTTGAGATGGGGAATTCTTGGTTTAGGTGAACGGATGGTATTGTTGATTATTTCAAGCTCACACCAACGATATTCCTGTGTAGCGTTGGGGTGGGTCTGAGGAGATGTGATATTATGCTTGTTGATTATTCCAGGCTCGCACCAACGATATTCCTGTGTAGCGTTGGGGTGGGTCTGAGGTGATATGATATTGTGATTATTGATTATTTCCAGGCTCGCACCAATGAAATTCCTGTGTAGCGTTGGGGTGGGTCTGAGGAGATGTGATATTATGCTTGTTGATTATTCCAGGCTCGCACCAACGATATTCCTGTGTAGCGTTGGGGTGGGTCTGAGGTGATATGATATTGTGATTATTGATTATTTTCAGGCTCGCACCAGCGATATTCCTGTGTAGCGCTGGCGTGCAGTCAGTTATCCGATGATATGAGCATTGACTCTGTGTGAGATGTGGACCAGTGACCTGTTATAGGATGGCTAGTTGCATGACCTCGTTTCTTGGCTAGGCATGACTTCTTATGAGATGTGGACTAGTTATATTTCTTTTCATACATAGATCGGGATTAATGTTTAATTATCTACAATTTGAGACATATGGTATATACATGAGGGTTTCCTTGTTTGGATTATTTCGCTCGACGTACTACGTCTCTTGTTGTAGATTTTTAAATATTAATTCTATCTATTGTATGATCTTGTTGCTTGGATGGTTTCTGATCGCTACCTGTATGATCTTGTTACTTGTTTGACTTTTGGATTCATCTGATTATTAGTATTCTAGTTGCACGCCTTTATCGTTATTACTATCATCACATGTTCTATTTCTATTTCTGTTATAGCATTAACCGCGCATATATTATTATTACGGTTATTGTATTTGTTTCTGCCTTGGGGGATCTTGCCGTGTGTCCCACACGCTGACGTACTCCTATTTTTTGGGTGTACGTTAGATTTAGGAGATGAGCAGCCTCAGTTCGGGATAGTACAGGAGCCAGAGGATTTACAGCAGTAAGGTCTTCCAGATGATCAGAAGAATAATCTGAAGCTTAGACTTTTTCTTTCTGTAGTAGTTGATGAGCACTAGAACTCTTTTACAGTATTTCTTTAGTTGATAATGAACTTAGTTATTTTATCAGTACTTTTATTATGGACTATGTACTTTATTCCCGGTTGAACCGTTTTTGTAATAAGGGCGTGTTTGACCCATATTTTTATGTCTGGGATGTTTTACCATTGATGATATGTCTATTTTTATTTTGGGTTGTCTTTATATTCTTGCTATGTGTGATCGGGGACCTGTGACTTCGCATTGTACTTATTTTCAGACGCTTAGCGTATTAGATTGAGAAGAAAGGAAAAAAAGAAAAAAAAGGGTAGAGTATATTTTTTTCTCAATCTAATACGTCGCGGGCTTGTTCACGTTCCGGTTCCCGTGTATTTTGGGAAGCGGGGCGTGACAGGTTTTAGTGGTGGCCCATGCAGGTCACGGTCCCGAGTTTCTACTAGTAAGAATATATATTGGACAATTTAGATACATATCATATTTCATCCGTAAGACTACAATTAAGTTCTTATATTATTATTTTAGATTACAATTAATTTCTTATACTATTTTTTAATAACTATGTTTTAGTTCCTATTTTCCAAATATATTATTTGATTTTAACCTTAATTTTTCTTTTGATCCTCGTTCCTTCAGAATCATGGTGGGTACTCGTAGTAACGATAACCCGTCTAGTAGCAGTGCCCCACAGCCCGAAGTGGATCCAAACCAACTTATGGCGATGATTCAGGGATTGAGCAGAAACTAGCTGGACAAGTACAGTGGGAGCCTCAGCACTAACCTCCCCCTCATCCAGAGTCTAGCGTCAGGGAGTTCCGGTACATGCGACCGCCTTCTTTCTCTGGTACAGAAGGACCCCTTGCAGCAGAGGAATTCTTGAAGGTCACAGAGACTATTCTCACGGTGACCCGTATTGCCCCTGCTGAATGGGTGGACCTCATGGATATTCAGCTTACCGACACCGCTCGGATTTGGTGGACTGCAGAGAAAGCTCATTTGGAGAGACCAATTTCGTGGGAAACCTTCACAGACCGATTCAACAGGAAGTACTTCCCTCAGTCAGCTCGGGACGAGCTTTTGCGAAGATTTGTGGAGCTCAAGCAAGGAGGGCGAACAGTAGATGAGTACGAGGCCGAGTTTTCTTCTTTGAGCCGATATGCTCCCCACTTGGTTGCAGACCCCACTATCAGGAGGCATCAGTTCCAGAAGGGCCTGGATAAGTATATCAGGTTTGCTCTAGCTGGTAGAGCACTTGCGACGCATGATGCAGTGTTGGATGCAGCACGCGAGATCGAGAGCGTTCAAAAGGAACCTAAAGACCTGCACGTGATTCGGAGCAGGACACCAGCAGCTCCAGCCCGAGATGGCGAGCGTCCACCTTCGAGGCAGCAGCAAAATCCACAGCGACAGCAGTTTTCTCAGCGCCAGCCACTTCCCCCTGTGCATCCCTATCAGCACCCTGGAGTGCAGACCCGCGGCCAGTCTTCGGTGAGGTGTTCTTATTGTAGATACCCTGGGCATACCGAGCAGGAGTGTCGCAGGCGTCATCATCTGTGCTATGCATGTGGATCCTCCGACCATATCAGTCGAGACTGTCCACAGCGACAACAGGCCCGCTTTCCCCCACCTCCAGTTCGAGCGGCTCTTCCAGCTCCACCTCGATAAGACTCAGTAGCTCCAGCTCAGCACAGACCCTATCCTCGAGCAGGACCACTTCCCCCACAGCAGCAGGTATATCAGGAAACACATAGGCAGCAACCTCGGCGACAGATGTTCACGATGTCAGCTGTGGAAGCAGAGGAGAACAACCAAGTTATCACCGGTGAGAATAGTTCATTCTTAGTTTTATTTGCGTGTGAACTTCCATATTCGTATTGCCTGATGATATTATGATAGGATTTGTTTATGGGTGCTAGCCTAGATGCATTTTCATCCTCCTATAATAGGCAATGTTCTTGTTTATTTTGTTCTTGCTTTATCACCCTTTGACTCTGGGTTTCTTACTGTTTCTTGTTCTTGTCTCCTCTGTTTATGGATATCATTTCATATCTCTGTCCTTAGATTTTATTTTAATTCCGAGGGCGGAATTTGTTTTAAGGGGGTAGGATGTAACAACCGTGAATTTTGATACGTATTTAAATAAATTTTCTAGTATTTAAAATATTATATTTTATTAATACTTTTCCTAATTTCTGGAATTTTTTGAGTTTTCAAAATAAATAAATAATAAAATATATAGTCTTGCATTTTTAAGTCTGCTAAATATTAATTTACGGTTTAGTGATTTTTATATATAATCTTTTGGTAGCTAATATTATTAGTGACCTTGTTATTATTAACGTAAACCTGAGCTTAGTATATTAGTACATATGTAAAAATATAAATATTTAGCTGTTAATTATTTATTAATATTATTATGTCTAATTATTAATATAATGTTTATTTTGAAAAATCATGCAAAATATTCCCATAAAATTCTCTCCCTTAATTTCCTCCCATTTGAATTCCTTCCAAATTCTTTTCCCAATCAGCCTTAATCACTTCCCAATCACCCCCTTAATCATGTTTATTTTATACCATTTCTCTTCTTAATCACGTGCATTTATCTCTCCTTCCATTTTCTCTCATTTTCAAATTTCAAAAACCAACTAATCAAATATTTTCTCTCTCTCTCTCTCACGTGCCCCCCTCTCTCTCTCCACCAGTTCACCCAAAGAAACCCCCTCTTCTTCTTCTTCCTCAAGCACCGAACCCATCCTCCTTCGCCACCCGACCTCCGCCTCCAACCGCCGTTCGCCGCCTCAGCAGCCCCGCGGTCACCCACCCGAGCGCCCCCTCCGCCTCTGGCCGCCTCCATCACCGAACGCGACCTTCTCCGACGCCCCGCACCCGAGCTCGAACCGCCCCCGTCGCCGCCCCCGTCTCCTCCGACCCCTGCGCTGCCACCCGCTCTCTCCCTCTCGTCCTCTCTCTACCCGAAACCACGCCCAGACCGCCGCCTGCGCCTCTACCGCCTCCTCCCTTGGCCAGCGCCGCCCCGTCAACCCCCTCGAGCCGACCCCCTGTCCATCGCCTTCAACTGCCGCTGCAGTACCCCCCGAGCGCCGCCTGCACCGAGCTCGAATCCGACCAGCCCTCCTTGTTCGCCGCCCCGTGCTCCGGCCACCCTCCTCCCCTTCGTCGGCCAACTCGACATCTGCCACGACAGATCTGTGCGCTCGACAGCTCCGACGACCACGCCACGCCACCGCGCTGCCCTCCCTTCAGATCCGTCGGGCAACACCCGCATCGGCGTCGCTACATCATCGACAGGCCCCATTGGCCTCGCAGGCAAGATCCCCCTCCTCTTGACTCAGTCAATTTCTAATTTATATTTGTAGTTAATTAGTTGCATAGATTAGATTATGAATTGTTATTATCTGCGTGAGCTTGTTGATGAATTAGTGAATTATCTATTTATGTCAATTTATAATTTTTACTATCTACGTGGGTTTGATGAATAATGTTGATTTAAATCATAGTTATGTGATAAATAGTATTTTTGGAATAATGATAATGAAGTGAAAGAATTTATTTTGATAACGGAATCATTATGGAGAATTTATAATATTTAAAAAGAATTTATTTTGAGAAAAAGAATTATTTTTGAATAATAATTGATGAGAAATAATTTTAAAGAATTTATTCTAGGAAAGAGAATATTTTGGATAATTATAATGAGAAATAATTTTTAAAAGAAATTATTTTAGAAAAGGAATTATTTTCTGAAGTATGTAGTTGCTGATTCATGATTACATTCATGTTTGTGAATATTTTACTATATTCGACATGTCATGATATGGTTGCTTGAAATTAATGTTATTATTATCTCGTTGTTGTGTTTGAGAACCGTTAGTAATTAATGTTCTTAGTGACCTGGCGTGTCGTGTATAGGACGTAGATACCTGTGTTTTGTTGGCTTAGAAAAGCTAGAAGAGTTGGGATGGGGAATTCTTGGTTTAGGTGAACGGATGGTATTGTTGATTATTCCATGCTCACACCAACGATATTCCTGTGTAGCGTTGGGGTGGGTCTGAGGTGATATGATATTGTGATTATTGAACCAACGATATTCCTGTGTAGCGTTGGGGTGGGTCTGAGGTGATATGATATTATGATTATTGATTATTTTCAGGCTCGCACCAGCGATATTCCTGTGTAGCGCTAGCGTGGGTCTGAGGGTGGTAGTGAAAAGTTGTACGTAAATGGTTTGGTGAACAATCGATTATCCGAGAATATGAACCTTGACTCTAGTGAGATGTGAACTAGTGAGTTGTGATAGGATGGCTAGTTGTGTTCTTTTCATACATAGATTGGGGTTAATATTTAATTATCTACAATTTGAGACATATGGTATATACATGAGGGCTTCCTTGTTTGGATTATTTCGCTCGACGTACTACGTCTCTTGTTGTAGATTTTTAAATATTAATTCTATCTATTGTATGATCTTGTTGCTTGGATGGTTTCTGATCGCTACCTGCATGATCTTGTTACTTGTTTGACTTTTGGATTCATCTGATTATTAGTATTCTAGTTGCACGCCTTTATCGTTATTACTATCATCACATGTTCTATTTCTATTTCTGTTATAGCATTAACCACGCATATATTATTATTACGGTTATTGTATTTGTTTCTGCCCTGGGGGATCTTGCCGTGTGTCCCACACGCTGACGTACTCCTATTTTTTGGGTGTACGTCAGATTTAGGAGATGAGCAGCCTCAGTTCGGGATAGTACAGGAGCCAGAGGATTTGCAGCAGTAAGGTCTTCCAGATGATCAGAAGAATAATCTGAAGCTTAGACTTTTTCTTTCTGTAGTAGTTGATGAGCACTAGAACTCTTTTAGAGTATTTCTTTAGTTGATAATGAACTTAGTTATTTTATCAGTACTTTTATTATGGACTATGTATTTTATTCCCGGTTGAACCGTTTTTGTAATAAGGGCGTGTTTGACCCATATTTTTATGTCTGGGATGATTTACCATTGATGATATGTCTATTTTTATTCTGGGTTGTCTTTATATTCTTGCTATGTGTGATCGGGGACCTGTGACTTCGCATTGTACTTATTTTCAGACGCTTAGCATATTAGATTGAGAAGAAAGGAAAAAAAGAAAAAAAGGGTAGAGTATATTTTTTCTCAATCTAATACGTCGCGGGCTTGTTCACGTTCCGGTTCCCGTGTATTTTGGGAAGCGGGGCGTGACACTTACTCTCCGCTATGATTGCTGACCTCCATAGCGGTTTGCGTAACCTAGCTACCACTTTTACCAAAGTGGGTGCTGAACCTTCAACTAAGATTCCTTTGTCGAGCGTCGAACTGCCATACACATATTTAATGGCGTGGCTAGTTCTCCATCGAGCGGATATGATGTCAGCACCTGACGCGTCTGATCCGAAAATTCCTTTGCTGCAGCTTTTAGAAGGATGTAAGTGGTTGTATCCTTCCCGACAGTGGCCTGACAGGGTGAGGCAATTTAAAAATGCTAAGTGTTGGGAATTTTGCAAGTGTTTCCCTCAGTTTTCTGGTGCCTATAATAACACGCTCGTTGACGAGGAAATGCCTGGAGCTAACAGGACCTCTCTCGACGTGGGTAGCTTCCATTGGCTCATGAACATTCGCCCAGGCTATAATGTTTTCCGGTCGAAGAACCTTTGCAGGATCGAGCCTTATTTTCCTTGCCGTTTTGCGCGACAATTCGGCTACGATCAACTGTACGTCGGGAATCCCAACAAATGGTTGATAACCTGTGGGAGCCTCATTGATGGAGTATGAGCCTGGTTCTGAAATGTTGCCGGCTGTACCGAAGCTCAATTTAGTCTGCCTGTCGCTGAGCCTGGTCTTCATTTAACTTTCCTCTACTACCGGTGGATTTTAGTCGCCAACACCCCTCTTGCGAAGAAGAAGCTTTCCGAACTGGAATCCGAGGCTGTGGTTCGGAGAATTGTATTTAAAAAGGGAAAGGAGCCTGCTACGTCTTCTCGTAAAGGAAGACAAGCAGCTGATTCCGAAGAGAGCGACGACTTTGAAACATCCAGTGAGGGGGATGAGAGTAGAGATGAAGCAGAGGCTGATGTCCCTCTGTCTCCCGTGGCTCACAGGACTCGTCGAGCTTCTTCGCCCAAATCACCCGGTGCTCCTTCAAAAGGTATACAAATGAAGGAAAAGAACATTCCCTTGTCGTCCTCCAATAAGATGACTATGAGATGGCCTGCTCGGGAGGAAGAGGCAGAAGAAGAGGAAGAAGACGTTGCCCCGCTTCTTAGCAGGAAGAGATCTCGGCCTACTGCTCCTGCTGAGGTTCAACCTCGACCGGCTCAAGGAACCGAACTGCGTACCAAGTTTCGACATGAGAGCTCTAAGGTTCCTCGAGATTCTCGTGCTTCAAAGAGGATTAAGAAGACGGCTCATCGACAACGTCAACTTTCTCCCTTCAAAGAGGATTAAGAAGACGGCTCATCGACAACGTCAACTTTCTCCGTTATTTGAAGAGAAGCTTACTCAGGATCTTCCAGTTGTCAACTTTCTCCGTTATTTGAAGAGAAGCTTACTCAGGATCTTCCAGTTGATGAAGAGGGTAAGATCTCTTTTTTTTATCTCATCTTTGAATATAGCGTCTT